TTTCCATCGTGCTGCATTCTGCAAAACCCTTACCCAAGAGTGAGAAGATTCACCGTCCAGGCCAAAGGCCTCATCCTGGCCATGCTGCCGGATGTAGAAGCCAGCTGACCCGGCCCACAGATCCATACACAGGGCATTAGGGCAGGATCTGCAGGCTAACTCCTCCATATGACCCCTCTGAGCACCCAGGTGGTGCCGGATCACGACAGGCCAGGACCTACGAGCTGCTGTTAGCTCTGTTTGGCAAGACAGGCTCAGGCTCCAGGAGGAAATGGCAGAAAGAGGGGGAGAGAGCGCCACAGCTTGAGGGAAAGTAGGTAGACAGCTTGATAATACTAGTGCTAGCGATGAATTCTAATGTGATACGTCAAAATATATACAGTTTATGAATATGTAATGCTGTATATGTGTAGGTAAAAGGCCCATGTGCTATATTTTACATGTTGGTTTAGGTAACAATAACTCTATTTATCTCTTTTTGTTAGTGTGCGTCTAAAGCCCCATTCAGATGGGATTGGTTTTATATGGGGCGGTAATGTAATTATTACCGGCATTTCTTAGTGATTTCTTAGCGCCATGTTAGTCATTTTTGGCACCTTTTACCTTCTGTAAAACGAGCCTTACATGCTCAGAAATAAAGGTACTGAACTGTCACTGGGTCAGTGCCCTTTCTGTCACTGCGGTGGAACCCTCAAGGGTCCATCTCAGTACCTTTAGTCAGGGAACATAACTGAACCATAATCCACTGAAATGATATGTTCTAAGCTGTACTGACTCCACACACCCCGTCTCGTCTCCAGGCTTTTATTTTACTGTTCTGTTTAAAACATTCGGTTATGAAAAGGTACAAATACGAACTTTTCACCTGGAGAAACTTATTTAAGGTTCACAATCAGACCTTAAAACCACTGTTGTACCTTTGAGGGAACATTTACACTGTTTGTACCTTGATGAACGAAAAATGTACCTGAACAGAACCTTCATTTCTAACAGTGCAGAAATAACCTCAGATAATGCTAATCTCGAAAACGTGTATGGTCATGATGCTATCGTGATGCTATCGTATCCTCCTATTAAGTATGGAGACAATAAATGGTGCAACAGTTACTAATATAGCGCCTGAGGCACCTGAATGTAACTGCTGCATTATTTAAGGTGGAACGGGAAAATTCGAACAAGAAGTTGACTTTAGTCTCTTGGCTAAAATGAAACTGATATGCACCGTTACTGTCCTGTCTCACGTTTACAACTCAGAATATGTAAACATTACAGAAAAAATGTGTGATTTTATGAGTTTATGTGGTAAAGTTAACTGTTTGCTGTGATTTCAGGCTGATGGTGATGCTAGTGATGCACTGTGTTTGCTTAAGACAGTGAGGTAAATGGTTAGAGTAAACTAAATAACAGCCAAATTAAATGTTTTAACATCTTTTCTACTCTTATCTGATGTGAAGGTGGTGCAGAAACTCTGTAGCAGTTCCATCTCATTTATACTGAGATTTCTTATTCGGTGTGAATCACTCACGAACACTACAGACGTCCCGAGGTAACCGGCATCACCCACCCCATTAATCCCGTCCCCATAGGGCTTAAGACTGGTATATGTAAATGAGCTCTGATCCAGCTGGCTGTGCCTCATTTAATGAGCAGTCAGGGTTGAAACGCTTCTTATAACTTCAGCGTGAATGGGCGGGGCTAAACTGCTGCAGACTGAATAGGCAGATGTATGGAGATGGGATGTTTTTGTGACATCGCAAAAACAATCACTTTAAAATGTGCAAGAGAGTGACTGAGTAAGTTAATGGCTGTGGAGGTTGTTGGTTCTTCCAGCAGGGACTACAAAAAAACGCTGACCATGATGGAAGGAATTCAAACACTGGTAGCAAAGGGTGATCTAGACAAGATGGCACTAGCTTTTCCTAAAATCCTTATTTCACTTAAAAAATCAACAATAATGTTTTGTTTGACAGGGGGTGTTCAAACTTTTGCATACAACTTTATTTATTGAGTTTAAAGTTGTGTATTATATATATATAGAGACGTAAACAGAGTGATTCAGAGAGGTTTGGTGTGAAATGTTTCAGATGTCTTTACAGTGGTGGTGATAGGAACCAGGGGTCGCCATGACTACAACACAAATATAGACATTTTATTTACTATCCAGAACCACCAGTGAACCTACACGAGTCTTCTGAGTCTATATGGAATGTTGATGATGGAAAATAGTGGAAAATCTGAAATAATAAGTTTTCTTTGGGGACTATTTTGCCTCACAGCGCCCTGCATGTATCCCTCCACCATGAATGGAGTTTAAGTTCTCTAAACTGTCATAAAACAGTGTCTCAGTCATCAGGCAGTGAATTCATAACCGTTTCATGTAGGAACTTTCTGTGAGGGAGCTTTTAGAGGTGGACGTCTGGTTCCTATCACCACCACTGTGAACAGTTCTGACTCGGTAAGTTTATCTAGAACAGAGCGTTTCACACCAAACCGCTCTGAATGACCCTGTTTACCTCTTAATCACTTAATTATGCAGGAATTTAGAAAAATTGGTTCCCCTTTGACAGGTTGTAACATTCAGATCTCTTTATGAAATGGACGTTTTTCAACCCCTGTGCCAATCATCTCCCCTATGTAGCTCATGCTTTTTTGATGCAAAGTACATGTTAAATGTATCTGACAGTAACATTCAGTCGTCTCAGTGCTGCAGTCTGATGCTGAACTGTAATTATTCGAACCAGCTGTGAGCGCTCGGCCACAGAACGCATTTATTATGGCTTTATAATACAATAATGAGTCACATTTGCGCAAAGCTTTTTGCGAAAGTCCCAGAGGCCTCGCAGGGCTGCGCTGGGATTAGCCCGACTGGCCCAGAAGTGACCTCTCCTCTCGCTTCAATTACGTGAATGTTTTTGTTGATTAGGATTCATTTTCACAGATAGAGGCCTAAAGCACAAAAGCCTACATGCGTATCTGGGGATGGGAGAAACTCAAGGCGCCCTGAAAAACAACAGCATGCAGTTTTACTCATTAGCATATACACCAATACATAAACACAAACACTGAAGTTAGAGAAGAGTCTGAGTGTGACTCTCAAAATATTTCTATTTTCTAAAATATCCAAGCAGTTTCCATGATGAGGGCCGTTTGTGCAGCATTTCTAACATTACAGTATTGTTTCCATTATTTTGTCCACTCCCTTTATAGGCTGAAGGCCAAACGTTGTATATTAGCATAGCGTAAAACATTAGCAGCCAACTGGAAGCCTGAATTTAGTCCGTGTTATACAGTGTTAGAAACTGTGTAATTAAGCCTATTAGAGATACTGAACAACTCCACAACTCAACTATGATAATTAGAGGGGTATAAGCTTCCATTGCTTGTTAGGTTACTTGTAAGGGTTCTTTAGTAAAAAAAAATGGTCCTATGAAGAAACGTGAACACTCACAGAACCCTTTGCATGATTAACCCCTCAACAACCCAGGTTTATTACATACAAAGTCTTATTATACAGTAATTACAGGGACTTCAATGCAAACTAATGGAGCTATTATTAGATTATAGAAGTGTGTAAAAAAACTTTGGGCCTGCCAATCGGCAAATGGCTTGTTAAGGGTTTAAAGGGTTCTTTGCATCTTCAGAATGTGCTGTACATGGTTCTATATAGAACCTTTTTGAAAATGGCTCTATATAGCACCCAAAAGAGTTCTCCTATTGTTATGATGTCAAAGTTGTAACAATAGGAGAACCCTGTTGGGTGCTATATGGAGCCCTTTTCAAGAAGGTTCTATATGGATCTACATCTATAGTACATTTTCCATCAGTCTAAAGAACACTTTCATGATACAAAGAACCTTTTAATCACGCAAAGGGTTCTATGAGTGTTCATGATTCTTTATAGAACCATTTTCTTTACTAAAGAACCCTCACTGGTGTCGGATCAAAACACCATATCTCCAAAATGGTAACTTTGCAGGAGAAGGAAAAAACATACTTTATTTTAATGGAAGTCAATGGAACCAGAATTTTTTCCAAGTGATTTTAGTTCATTTCTTTTGGTCAATTCATCATGAAATTTACAAACAATGTAAAGGGCAACAGACATTTTATATATATATATATATATATATATATATATATATATATATATCGCTGCTGTTGAAACAAAACCTCACATCTCCATTTTTTTGGTTTTTATTTATTTATTTTTTCTTTACAATATGTCGATTTCTTGCTAAACAGACCAATAGAAACCCTTCAAAATTTGATTTACAATAAAAAATCATTCACAAAAAAAGTGATAATAAAACTTGTTACACATATGCAGGTTAATGCACAACTATACTTGCTGAATTTATCATATTGGGGGGAAATGAAACCTAAAACGTGGCCCAACCTTAAAGTTATGGAACATTACATATATTTTAAGCTTAAATTTTTTTCCAATGTGCTCAATTCTGTAAACAGATTGAAATTATGCACTAAAATTGGCAGGAAAATTATGTTTAAAGTGTTTTAAGTTTTTTATTCTCACTCAGAGCATCAACATGTAGTTTGACTGGAGGTGTGTAAACATTTACACACAACTACATGTATAAACACACACACACACACAGTTCACTAAACCTCTAATGCTATGTTATACAATAAGCAATGTAACATTTTGTTAATTTATTATTATCATTAATTTACAACTGAAGATCAAAAGAATCTCATGGTTAAGACAGACTGTTTTGAGGTGCATTCACCATTTACCACAGTAGAAACAAACTTTTCATGTGTGTTTGTTTAAGGAGGCTTTGTAAAGTGTCAGTGTGGTGTCAGTCTCGGTTTACTGGCCTCTGACTGACTCGTCCACCTCTGCCCTAAACAGCCTGAGGACTCCAGACCGTCCGCCCTCCTCCGAGCTGCTGGGGGTCCCACACTGCGGCTCAGAAGTTTGAGCACCGCCTCACTCCACTCCAGCTCGGCTCTCAGATGGGAGCGGACAGCAGTGCACCATGCGCGGGGCTGTCGGTGCTGCTATCATGTTTCTGCGCTCTTTCTCCTTCTGCTTCTGTTTACTGCCGGCGGAGCTGCTCGCAAACCTGGGTGAGTTACGAAGCAGGTCGTTCAGGGGTCCTCCAGCTGTTTTCAGCACAACTAGCCTTGCACTGCCTCTAAGACTGTGAGATCTGAGTCAAACTGTGGATTTTAAACAGCAGAACGCAGCATGTGCAGCGACAGGCTTGTTATTCTGTCGCTACAGCGGGAAAAAGTGGGTCTGTGTGCTTAGAACTTGTTGAATTTGGCAGCTGAGTTGGCGAACTGTGACTTTAGAGGGAAGTTTTCTTTGCAGATTTCCTTTTTTCTTCGAGCCAAACATGTTTATAATCAGCGCTCCTTTTTAACCACACACATTCTGGCAAGCCACGCCCCCTGCTCTAGGATTGGCTAGTAGTGTCCTGCCTTCTGTGTTGAAAAATGTGCACAAAAATATGCTTTTAAAATGGTTAGATGGCTTTTTTATGATCATATGGACTAAAATTAGTATCAAATGTGTTACTGTAGCACTACAGAGTTCACATGCTATCATTTATACACTGAACGTCACTAAAGCACGTCTTCCAATATGCTAAAATATGCTAATGAGATGCTAATTTGCTACAGAACATGCCTGCGCTAACGTGGCTTAGTCGTTTGAAATGTTGGTACTGTTCAGAAAGCTGTTAATAGATTAACGATGTTGCTGTTTATAATAATGACGGTGTCGAATATGAACTCCACATCTGTCTAATGAAAAGTCAGTTATGGTCTGCAGCTGTTTTAGCAGCAGGCAGCGTTCTGTTGCTGTAGCTTAGCATGCTGCGATTTTAGCACAGCACAGCTTCATTTAGCTCACTGAAGCGTCTCTGAGGGAAGTTTACAGTTCTCAGGTCTGAGCGAGTCGCTCTGTTTTTGTCTATGGAGCCGTTAGCTTACGCTACTTTTAATTCGCTATCCATGTTAGCACAAGAGGCTAACGTTAGCTTAGCAAAAAGGCCTAAACGCCAGCGATTCCAGCTAAAGGATGCTGAACTGAGGCAAGTTTAGAGGATAAAGGCTCAAATCATATCCTTGTTAGCCTCAGATGCTAAAGTTAGCTTAGCAAGAAGACTAAACCACCAGCTAATGGTGCCTTCTGTGATTGGCTAGCAGTGTCCTGCCTTCTGTGATTGGCTAGCAGTATCCTGCCTTCTGTGATTAGCTAGCAGTGTCCTGTCTGCTAGGATTGGCTGGTAGTATCCTGCCTTCTATGATTGGCTGATGGTGCCCCGCCTTCTGTGATTGGCTGGTAGTGTCCTGCCTTCTCTGATTGGCTGGTAGTATCCTGCCTTCTGTGATTGGCTAGTAGTGTCCTGCCTTCTGTGATTGGCTGGTAGTGTCCTGCCTTCTGTGATTGGCTGGTAGTGTCCTGCCTTTTGTGATTGGCTGGTAGTGTCCTGCCTTCTCTGATCGGCTGGTAGTGTCCTGCCTTCTGTGATTGGCTGGTAGTGTCCTGCCTTCTGCGATTTGCTAGTTGCATCCTGCCTTCTGTGATTGGCTAGTAGTGTCCTGCCTTCTGTGATTGGCTGATAGTGTCCTGCCTTTTTAGATTGGCTGGTAGTGTCCTGCCTTCTGTGATTGGCTGATAGTGCCCTGCCTTTTTAGATTGGCTGGTAGTGTCCTGCCTTGTGTGATTTGCTAGTTGCATCCTGCCCTCTTGGATTGGCTGTATGTGTCCTGCCTTGTTTGACTGGCTAATAGTGTCTGCCTTCTGTAATTGGCTAGTTGTGTCCTTTTTTCTGTAATGGGCTGGTAGTGTCCTTCCATGATTGGCCTCCTGTTTTATTGCTATGAAAATGAAATGTAATATGTTGCCAGTATGTAAAGAATGAATTGCATGTATAGTAATATGTATGTATTGTTTATATATTTATATAATTTTTGTATAGGCAATGCAGACTGGTGGGGTATCAGGGCTACTATCTAATCACAGCTCAGTAGGTGGGGTTTGTCTGAATATGGGTGGGAAATAAAACCAGCTGAGGCACTGTTCCCCGAGCAGCTGTGTGTGTGATTGTGAGGCCTCATCTACACCAGCTGGAGTGTGTGAGTGTGTGTATATGTGTGTGTGTGTGTATGTGTGCTATAGGGCTCTCACAGAGCTAATGGAGCGTGCCCCCCCTTCACTCCAGATGTTTTCAGAAAGCATTAGCGCGCCTCTCAGGAAGACCCCCGGGGGGCTCTAATTATGATGTTGTGATGTCTGGTGCCGTCACCGTGGAAGCTGACACGGCGGGTCAGACTGATTAGTGGGGATGAAACAACACCTCTGACCTTTACCCCTCTCACGGGGTCATCAGATCAAAACACTGACAATCAAATGTTTGGGGACGCCTTGTTTTCAGCGTAATTTGTGATTTTCACTTTGACGTTTCGATGAAGTGCACTTGATTCGAATGTGAACGTTGGTTCCACATGAATAAAATAAATTAAAATGCCTTTGTGCTTCATTTTTTGGCAGTAGTTGAGTTGATGTAGTATGTTTTATTAATATGGAAATGATGAACACATCTCCATCAGTTATTTCACACTGATTTAGTCCAGAGCTACGAACACTAATGAGTAGGGCTGGCCTGAATAGTTTAAATACTCGTTACTAGATCTAAAAGATTAATTGTTTTTATATTGAAATCACAATTTTAAAAGTGTAATTTCCAAATTGCTAGAGCTGCAATTTTAATTATAGCCTATATTATCAAAAACGTCATCTTAACAAGTTTTAAATGAGAAAATTTGATCTAATAACACAGAGCATGTGAACGGCCTGTAGGTGAGTTAGGCCAATCAGAAACAACCAAAAACCATGCGTTGTGACATCACAACCGCAACTAACTGGCAGTCTGGCACAATATGTCCAGTGCTCAAGCTGCAAGCCAGAAAAAAGTGGATATTCTGGCCTTCATGGCTGATAAAATAGGCCTGGACCTTAAAGTAAAATCACAGTTACAATATTAGTCAGAAAAATCAAAAAAATATATTTATCCCAAATTGTTAAGCCCCAATCTGTACTGGTTCTTTGCACTGGTATTTGTTTCTGTACTTAGTATTCGGATGCTTTGTGCTGTTTTAAGCCACAAGAAGTAGCATAAACTACAACACATTTCTCCAAGAAAAGACTTTAAATAGACAGCTAATGTTCAAGTATGGAAAATGTTAAAATGAGCAAACTTTAAACGGTTTAGTTAGTTTTGAATGCATCATAAATTCATGCTAGGCCTCCAAAGGAACTCCGTCCAGAAGGCTAAAAGAGCAAAGATGTCTCAGCAATCACATATGTGGGGAGTTACAGTTACAGTTTTTAAAGCTGTAAAAGAGCAAAGACTCTCCTGCTCACAACGTTAGTACAGCACAGGAGCTGCTCTGAAACTACTAAGCCACCAAGATCATTGCATCTTAGTAAATTATTATTTTTAAACATAGTTTAGAACACAATAGAATGTGTGATTTGACTGGATCTTTATGGAGACCTTGCTTCATTCATGCATGCTAGTAAAAAAATAGACTTATCGGTTTTGATGGAAAACACATGGCTAGCTCAGTCGGTGTGGACTGAAACATTGATTAACATGAACATCTGAAGAATAACAAAATAAACGCTTAAAATATTATTGTTTTTAAGGATATAATGCATATTTGTGTACTAATTTGAAATACTAATTAGTATTTGAAGCCTGTAAAATACTGTTTGAACTAGCGTTAATAGAAGCTTCTACCCCACCAGTTAGCAGGGTGCTAACTGCAGGCCTAAACCATCACTCACTCACCTCAAACTGTGTGGAGGTGTTCAGCGTCTCTAATAGACTAGATTATGTGGTTTCTGACACTGTACGACTCACTGTCTCTGTCTTGTCCATTGCAGAAGATAACAATGCTAATTGGTGGCGTATAAACTTCCATTACCTGTTAGCTACATTAGCCTTGTAGCACCAGCGCTAAAGCTAAAGAAGTAAACTTCAGATATCAAACCAGTCTTGGCTGATCGACTCCACGACTACGTTTGAGGGGAAAGTTTGTGTAAAGGGAGTTTTTTCGCTGAACTGTCACTTTAAGAGAGCAAGCCGACTGAAGAAAGTGGCCCTTCTGGCTTTGTGTTCGTGTCGTCCTGGTCTCAGCTGTGGCCGATGTTACCAAAGAGACGGAAGTCTTTATTAAAGGGTTTTACAGCTGTGTGAGTGAGTCACGCACACATTCTTACAGCCCTCAATCAACAGGGGAGTGGGGGTGGGGTGGTGTGAGGAGGGGGGGGGGCAGGATGTGAGAATGAGAATAAGTGTTTTTGTGGCCTTGCATTGTCCTCAGGGTTTGGGTGAGGAATCCTTCAGTGTGAGGCGCATTAAGGGCTCTCTAAAGGCCTACACCTTATTAATCAGGCCTCCTTAATACTTCAGTGTCTTCTCTATCAGATGACCTGTGGGGTTTTTAACCTTTTCAGACCTGCATTACAGTGACAGTTTGGCCAAAAACAATTTTTACACAATTTATAGTCCATAAACAACCTCCATAAACACTCCTATACACTAGAATAGGAGATATTAGTCCATAAACAACCTCAGTAAAAACTCCTATATGATAGAATAGGAGATATTAGTCCATAAACAACCTCAATAAAAGTATTATACAATAGACCCAGAGATATTAGTCCATAAACAACCTCAATAAACACTCCTATACATTAGAATAGGAGATATTAGTCCATAAGCAACCTCAATAAAGTCTCCGATCCACTAAAATAGGAGATATTAGTCCATATATGACCTCAATAAAGGCTACTACATGCTAGAATAGGAGATATCAGTCCATAAACAACTTTAATAAACACTCCGATACACTAGAATAGGAGATATTAGTCCATATATGACCTCAATAAAGGACATTATATGCTAGAATAGGAGATATTAGTCTAAATACTACCTCATTATACACTCTTATACGCTAGAATAGGAGATATTAGTCCATAAACGACCTCAATAAACACTCCTATATACTAGAGTAGGAGATATTAGTCCATAAAACGACTTCAATAACCA